TAAGCATAATATTAACAGAAGAATAGCATGTTATAACAAATCAAATTAACAGTCGTGAAATGATTATGTACAAATCACCTGAAGTCTCTATGCTAACGTGTGAATGATACTCGTTACTCCTACCTATCCTCACAAATGGTTGGCGGCAACCCAAAAATCTGATTAACTATGACTACTTGGTTACAGAGGGCAAGACAAACTGATAAAGAAAGGAATTTTAGCACTGGTTGCTGCTGTAGGGTGTAAGAGGTATCAAAAATCTTTGGCCATAGGACGTTTAACAGACAACGCAGCTGCGGCTGCAGCTCGAGTAAAAGTAAGAGATCCGTGCGTTTTTCTGGCATTCCCTAAAGCAGATAAAAGTCACCAGTCCAAGCTGATATTTCTAGAGACATAAAGCTTGTCAATGTAGTCTATAACCGGGCCTGAAGCATTGATATATCTTCTCATTTTCTTCTCTGCTGAATGATCTGCAGCAATGTTGGAATTCTCAAGGTCATTATATTGGTTCAAGATCAAATGTTCTCCTAGAAAATAAAAGTAGAAGATGGAACCTACAACAACAACACAGTCTTTGCTAAGAATTTAAAATAACCCATTCTTCTCCATGCCATTTTAAGGGAAAATAGAATGTTAGAAAGCAACCAACTTTCATCCGTTTTCTTATAGCTAAATATTTAGTTTATACGCTGTTAATATAAACATTGTTTATGAGGCATAAACTATGATTTTCATGCCACTGGAAACTAAATTATGTTGTTCTACAAAATGATTCAAACTAACCAGTTTCATTGAGCCTTAGCAAAAGTTGATCCCTAGTTGGGAGAGTACACATTCCAGCATAAACTGCAGTTCTGACAGCCCAAGAGTGGTATGGTGCACAAACTTGTGCATAAGCTGTCGAAGCTGCATCCTTTAAAGAATGTTCACTAAAAATGACAAAACAGAAACATTAGTTAGATGAAAAAAGCTGAGCCAAATTCTGAATTCTGGTAAAGCATTATTAACTTCTTATAACAACGAAAAATATATAGATACCATCTAAAAAAGGGACCAAAACTGGTAATTGGGAAACAAAAGAATAATGTTTACAATTACAATATTATTTGGTTAGCATCTAATGCCGCACTGCTCAGAATTTTTAAGATGCTACGTACTGCAATATGTGTTCCACCCACGAATTGTTTCTCTAATATTTATGCAAGCAATGAATGTAAGACACAGAGACAGAACTACACATTAAAGAATTCTACTGTATCTTCCAGGGTCAGCATATGGAAAGAAGGTAAACCGCAAAAATGAAATATAAGGTGAAAATCCATACTAGTTTGACAAAAATTCTTCAAATAAAGCCCTGATAAGGTCAAGACCCTGTCGAACTCGACGCAGATTCCGTGAATGGCTTCCTGGTGTTTTAACTGTGTCATTTGCAGTATCATGATCAAGTATATTTTGCAACGTTTTCAATCCCTGAGATGCTTCCACGAGATCACGCACCTAAATGTATCAATCAAGATGCAAAACGAAGAATGCACAAAACTCAGGAAATCAAACACCTTCTAACTTCAAAAGATGCATCACAAAATCAAACCCACAATTTGATATTAACAAATAAACAAGAATGGCAAATTATGGGGTAAAACGAAAAGAGAAATGGACCTTGGCGACGTACTCCAGCTCGGCGAATTTGAAAGCGAGGCCGAGGCAGCTGAAGAGAACGGAGACCAAAGAACAAGCGTCACAGAAGGTGTCCAATCGGAGCTCTTGGTCCTTACGCCGGCATCTCAGGAACTCGGAGAGCCCCTCAAACGCCTTGGCGATGGACGAAAGAGGGGTCTGCAGCTGGGTCATCGTCGTCGTCGTCATTTGGGTATCCTCAAATTTATCTAGTTTGTCATCCATGGCGATGAAACTTTCCCAAAAAGACTCAGAATTTGAGAGAAGGAGAAGAGAGTTTACGTGTTGAACTGCGGGCTTTTTTTACTCTGTTTTCTGTTGCGGGGAAGGCGCGACAAGGGCAATATGGAAAATAAATGGGAAAGTTGTTTGTTCCCAGAAAACCGCTCTGCCTAAGGAACCATTGCTTGGAAAAGTCTTCTCTTCTCTCTTTCCACAATTCCCACACGGAATAATTTTGGTCGTAACTAAATTCTAATTAAATTTTGGGGAAATTGTAAACTACTAATATAATTTTTTAATGTTTACGAATATTTTTTTTTATTACTTAGTTATTTTATTGTCCTCATAAATCCAATTTGAAAGCTAGAAATACTAACTTTTGATAATTAATTTCACATTGTCATCACATTTATTTATTTTTTCAACAATTATGTGCCTTTCAGATTGAGTAACTAAAACTAATTCTTTAAAGATCTCATCGAAAATTAGTTGTTTATGTGAGAATTAGACAATTTATAAAAAATTAATTCTCATTAGGCATGGCAAAATTCTACTTTACCAGTTAACTTTGATCTTAACCTAACTAGTAAAAACGAGTTAAAATCTGTATGTCTCAATCCACAATCGGTATATAATCTACAATATCAACCCATACATATCACGAGTCGAGTTAAGGTCAACTCATGGGTTGACGGTTGACCCGTTTGTTTATTATTATTATTATTTAAAAAAATATTATATTTATTATTTTTAATTAGTTTTTCTGTTGATAACTCTCTTCATTAATTCATACTCATCAAGCTCATTTTCATTACTCAAATGGTTTTGAACTTATTTTGAGTATTTACTCATCATGATTTCTTCTTCTTTCTTTTCTTCTTCTTTCTCTAGAAATTATGTGGGCAAGAAATTATGATGAGTTTGGTTTAATTACCAAGTATCATGAATTAAATGATAATATAACTAAAAATATTAAAGATATGATGTTATGATCTAATCATAATAGTTTAGTGAAAGATATTCTTGGAATAGCAATTTCATCATAAAAAAAAAGGCTTAAACTCCTTAACAATGTTTCAAGATGATTGAAAAATAAAATTTTATTTTCCAAGAAATTTAAATATTTTAAGTATTATATTGTTAATCAACTTAATATTGTTAATCAACTTGTTATTATTTATAACTTTATAATTTTTTTTAAATTTAAATATTTGTGGTTGACACTACTAAAATCCCTATCTTCAACAACATGCCATGTTGCTGAAAGTCCTTCAGTAACATAGTTTTTATTCCTAAAAACTTTATTAGAAAAGCCTTGGTAGGTGATATATTACCAACAAGCATTTTGTTGCTGATATATCAGCAATGTAAGATATGTTGCTGAAACTATAGTTGGTAAGAAGGTGAAACTTTCACCCTTTTCAGCAACATAAACTACGTTGCTAAAAATATAATTTTACCAACATGATTTATGTTGCTAAAAATTAACGGGGAAATAGTTGGAATCTGGCATCAACATTTGGCCTCATTTTCAGCAAGATAAGCCACATTGCTGAAACCATATTTTCAGCAACATGGCTTGTATTGCTAAAAGTTTAGGAGAAAGTGGTCTCCAACTTTTTAGCAACATAGCTTTTGTTGCTGATGTTTCTTCCAATGGTACCAAGCACATTTTCAGCAACATACCCTTTGTTGCTGATGTTTATTCTAAAGAACCAACCACATTTTCAGCAACATACCCCTTGTCGATGATGTGTCAAAATAACTGATTAAAAAAAATTATACCTACCAATATTCTAAACATGTATTCTTTATATTCATAATAAATATATTACATTAATCTTACACTGTCAATATTAAATTTAATAATATTATATTATTTAAATATGAAATTCATCTTTTTTATAACCACCAAATATTAAATCTCTTGATATTTCACATACAATGTTAATTATACGTAAAAAAAA